CAATTGCCTCCTGCAGTTCTCCTCCCTAGGCTCTTTGGATGAGAAATGGATGACAGAGTTTGCCTCTTCAATGTCGGCGGGAGTTACAGACGATAAAAAACCTCTGGGCATTGGGGAGCCAATGATAGTATGGCCCAATGTAGAAGATGTTAGATGTTCTTTGGAGGTAATATTGAACAAGTCCTATTAGATTATTAGTGGATCACTAACCTGACTATGGATGTCAAACATAAGGATAATCCGCCGCCTATTAGCGGCATTGACTTAAGACCATACTTTAATAAATCGTTTTTATTCAGTTGACATTTGCAATAGATGTGATTGAAAATCCTGACAAGTTACAGTGAAATTTTTAGTGCGTGGTCTCATTCGCTTGCTATTCTAGATGCTTGCTGATCTTCATAAGTGAAATCTGACTCCTCCTTTGATCTACTGAATGAATTTTAGTGCATCTTGCTTCATTTTCTAGGGATATGCAGCTGGAAGTGCCATTCCCGGCCCATCAAAGAACGTGGAGAAAGAATTTCTGAAGAAATATTGGGCTAGATGGAAAGCTAACCACACTGGTCGTTGGTATAGTAGCCTTCTAAAGTTTTGAATTTCCGAAATATTAGTTTCATTGCAATATTCTGGAATCCTTTGAAACCTGTGCATTCCTCTCTTAAATTCCTAAACCTATGGATGATGCATCACTTAGGGCCTTTACCTCTAGAGTTTTCCAATAGAAGCACTGTGGACTATTACTGAAGTAATCACTTATGTATCAGAAATTCATAATCATAGAAATCAGACATAGTCATGTTAAGTAGTTTTATACTTGAATTACCACACGAGTTCTCTTCTTTTTTCTTTTTAATGACCTTCCTAAGGTTTTTGGGATTGCCAAATGGGAAGAAATTGATTGCCCAAGATCATATAAGGCGCAAAACAACCCATCCCTTCACCAATGTTGCAATGTGCTACACTAACACCCCCCACCCCACCCCCACCCCCTCAGGCGTGCCAACTGGTACGTGGACAACGTTACATGGGGGTGCAAGATGGGGACATACAATAACAAGCAACTTTTTTAAAAATATTTCGGAATAGAGAAAGTGAAAGAACTTTCTCAAAAAAAGACAAATTAGCTCAAAAAAGAAAGTTACAGAATTTCTAGAAGAGAATATTTCTAAGAGTAGGGACTCAAATCCTTGGTTCTAAGTTAAGAAATGGATATGGGACCTAACTCAACCCCAAAAACTAGCTCATGAGGTGGCATTGCCCAAAACTGTACAAGGAGACAAAATAGGGAGCAAAGTAGTGACAGTGGTGAAGAGTGCTTATACTTTTGTATGTTTCTCTTGTGGTGGCAATAAAGGCAGTCACAGTAGCGCTAACCTTTCATAAACTTGTCTCTAGTGGCAATGGAAGACTCTGTAACTCGCGTCCTTTCTGGTAGGGTTTCTAGTGGTAAGAGTCAAAGTTTATGCATGCTGTTGCCTGATCAAAAAATGCTAATGCATACAGTTGCTACTTTTATCCTAGTTCGGCTGTATGCGTTGCTGAATAAATTTCTAAGTGACTGTTATAAACTCATAAAATATATATCTTGTACAATGATGTGGTAATTGTTCCATATTCTGAGTGGCATAACAATGTACAAAGGAGGCTCATTGTGAAGCGGATGTACGATCACTGCTTCTTGTGAAAATGCAGATGTACTTGCATACTTGCATGCATAAAATTCCAAAAATCTGTTTTTATCTATTCCCACTACAAAGTGCATTAAAAGAAATATATTCAATATGTAGTTCTAGTGAAGCTCTAATGTGTCTGCATAAAAATTGTTCAACTCTGACCCATTGGAACAAACAATGTTGTCAAAGGCGTGCTTAACTAATGAAGCGAGGCTCAAAACATGTTGAGCGCTTTGTGTCGCTTAGCGGATGCTTCAGTGTAGGCTCTAAGACATACTTTTCCTTGCCAAAGAGCATATGAACAATTAACATTTCACTTTATCGTATTTTCTTTTTCCAATTTCTGTCCTTTTTTTTGTTATTCATGCTTATAATTATTTGTCTCGGATTACACATACATATTTGTTTTTTTTTCTCCATTTGTGCCTTTCTTCATCAAAGCTCATGCTATATTTGCGCGGTGCGCTTAAAGATCCTTTCTACCTTTGATAACTCTTGAGAACAAAGAAAGGATTTTCTTCATTTCTGACTTGATGACAGAAATTTCCGTCTGAATATTGCATGAGCTTTGCTGATATACACTGATCAATTTTAACTGCTGATGAATCTAGTTGCAAATCAGATTTTCCTTCTTTTTTAGCTCCTGTTTTCATTGATTTTCTTGAGAAAGGACACTTACCTTTTGTTCTTCAAATCTTCAGCCGTGCAATGCCTCATATTAAGACGTTTCTACGTTACACCGGTCAATCGTTAGCGTAAGACTTCCAAGACTCTGTTCTTTGTTTTTCTTAAGATTTGATTTCCCACTAATGTTGGATGATTGCTTTTGTTAATATTTGTTTTTTTCCTCTGGAAAAACAGGTGGTTCTTGCTTACTTCATCAAACCTCAGCAAAGCTGCCTGGGGCACTCTTCAGAAAAATAATTCTCAGTTGATGATTCGTTCCTACGAGGTATTTTTGTTCCTCTCTGGAGACTAGAAGCATCCAAGATAACAAACTGACACAGAGACTGAAGAAACTTGGTGAAAAGATCCAAATTTGCACCTGAACTATTAACTATTGCTACTTTTGCCTCATGTTACACTTCACCAACAAAAATACACTTGCTAGTTACACTTCGCCAACAAAAAGGCACTTGCCATTATGATTTGAGACAAGTTTGCCCCCTTCTTAACTAACAGGCAACAGCCCTCCACATGTCTATTTTAATCAATCCTGCTATAGACCACTGCCACGTATGCAGACACGTAGAATAACCCACCTTTACCCATTTCCCAAAAGCTGAATCAATCTTTTACCTGTATTAGTTTTCCTGGATTTACATTGATATCTTCTTAGAGGAGACAAAAACACTAAGTGATTTCTTCCCATCTGTCTTATCCTCGTCTCGGTGGACAAAATTACTTGGTACCTATTGTTGGTGGGAGGTGACATGTATCCAGTAGAATAAGTCGAGATGCGCGCAAGCTGGTCTGGACACCATTATTGTAAAAAAAAAAAAAAAAAAGAGGATTAACATTGATATCTTGTTTATCCTTTAGATTTCATCTTGACTTGAACTTCTAAAATGACATTGTGATTGTAACTTATCTTTGTCCTTGGCAGCTAGGGGTGCTCTTTTTGCCATCTTCTGTTAAACGCGGCTGTGGTTTTTCTTGTACAAATAATGGTTATCCATCAGAGGTACAACAATCATCTAGGTTTTTTTCATGTTAAGTTTATGCTTTATTAACTTTGATATGTATGGCCCGGTTTTTATTTCTTTGGATTTACAGGACGAGACTAGCATGCACGAAGGGAAAAAGATAAAGCTGGTAACTCTAGCTTGGCAGGGAAAGGGAAATGATGATTCTTCTGAAGTAATCAAGTTGCCGGTGCCTTACGAGCTTCCTCCAAAGCCATATTCCCCTGAAGGTCTTAGCTCTATAACAAAATCTCATTACAACAGTCGTGTTTTCTTTCGAACTAATTTTTTTATGTTATATTATATTATATGTTCTGTATAGCAACATTTCGTTATAGCAGCTAAAAAATATTCAAACGATGTTGTTATTAAGAGGTTTGACAGTTTACTGCTCTCTGAATAACATCAAGCTCACTGCATTTTTTCGTTGAATGCAGATATTCCTTGGTCATGGGATCGTCGATATACCAAGAAAGACATATATGGACAAGTTTGGCCGAGATAAGTAAAGCTATACACCAACCAGGGCTCCTGATGTTTCGAATGATGGGATCGATGTGTTAGGTGAAACGTTAATAAACGATTGACACTAGATTAGAGTTCTTGATTCTGTATATATTTAGGCATGAACCTTTAGAATGTTGGTACCATTTATGAGCTGGTTTTTCCATATAAATTGATGATTTTTTTCATCAGTTGGCTCTAGATTGGAGTTCTTGCTTCTGTGTATATTCTTAGGCATATGAATCTTTAGAATGTTGATACCATTTATGAGCTGTTTTTTCCATAGAAATTGATGGACTTTTTCATCAGTTGGCACTACATTTATCCTTGCTTCTGTATAATTTCTTAGCAATGTATCTCTAGAATGTTGATGCCATTTATCAGCTGGTTTTCCATATAGTGTTTGGTACGATGGAAAATATTTTTCAGGAAAATAAGTGGATTTTTTACATGTGGGGTACATAGGTAAAAAAACACTACCCTACAAATATTTATATCTTACTCAGAAAAATATTATGGGAGGTGGGGTTGTGGCATGGGGGATGTTTCTACGAAGGTTGGAGGTGAAGATGAAGCGTGTCGGAGGGTAGGTAGGACGCAATTAAGATATAATACATTAACGTGCCCTTTAACTTGATGTCAGTTGACATTTATGTCTTCCAACTTTGGGTGTGCATAAGTAGATACTTAAATTTGTATACAGTTGAACATGCAAACATATGTATCCTACATGACGATTCACGTGAGATATACTCATCCTACATGGCAACTTATTTGTATTACAAATCAATGGACATATTTATGTATTATGTCATATTTATACCACTGCCCGGTATAACTTGTGACTAAGGTAAATTTTATTAATCCGACAATACTTATGTGGTGACACTATTTTTCTCAAAAACGATTCTTACGCGATGTGAATCTAAATTATACGGTAATTAAATTTTAGGTTGGCCACCATGTTCGGGTCCTAATAAACATCAATATCTGGTAATAACTGAAAGATAATTTTGGCACCTGAAATTCCAACAAAAGTCCAAATGTGTGGATCAATACAAAAGTTGAAATATTGTTTTTTTTTACTATATACATTTTCTCTATTTATACGCTCACATTTCATTTTTTTTCCTTAACATTTTCATACAATTTACAAAAAAAAAAATTAAAATTCTCAAGATTTCCAGTTTCATCTCTTCACCACCCACCCCTATCTCTGTTTCTTGTTTTGGTTAGGTAAATTTTTCTCCATTTCCAACTTTTTAAAATCAAGATTGTGTTTTTTCTTTAATGTTATGAGGCTATGCAACGCGAATTCAGATTAGTCGTTATACCCCAAAAAAAAAATGTTGTTTAATTTTTCAATTAAGATTGTGTTTTTTCCTTCTTTTTTTTCATCTATTCTTTAATGGTATGGGTCCTATGCGGCGCTAATTCAGATTAGTTCGGGTACAATGTAGGTATCGGACACAGAATGAGAACCACAAAAAAAAATGTTGTTTAATTTTTCAATCAAGATTGTGTTATTTTTTTCAGCTGTTCTTTAATGTTATGTACCTTATGCCCCACGAAATCGGATTAGTCAATCTGCTATGGATACCGGACATCGAATGAGAATTAAAAAAAAAAGAGAGAAAAAAAACTGTTCTTTAATGTAATTCTTGTTATTCAGACTTTAGAGTATTATCAACAAATTTTGTTTAGTTCTTTTATTTGTGATCATTTTTTTTGGTTCATGCAGACCCTGAATTGCTATATTGGTTATTGTGTACACTTTTTTAAAAAAAAATTCCACTCTTGGTGTTTGATACCTGCATTGGAATTTGACTAAAGCGTATTTGGACATTGCGGGGTCCATTTATGGGAGTGCTCCCAATAGGATTTTTTTCATTTCCAGGACGAGGATATGAGAACTCTTGTTAAGTGTGGAGGGATCCCGACCATCCCTCTTTAGTCGAGTCGAATTGGATGCTTTTGTTTCTTAAGGTTAAATGTGTTTAATCAGATTGTAATAAGCAATGAAATCGATGAACTAAACAGGCAATCATCAAATAACTGAACCTTTTCTGTCTTTTTTTTCGCGTTAATATTAGTCTGTTATTCTGTTTGTATGTATATCCATGAGTTTGCAAGTGAATTACATTCTTTTGTTTTCGTTTCAGCTGGAATTTTGCATTCAAGGTTTGTTCGTCGTACTTCTGAAAGCTAGGTTCATGTCTGAGCTCGATATCCAAGTCCCTACCACCTTTGGTACGTTGTATCTATTCTTCGTTTATCAATTTCTCTTTTCCGCTTCATAGAGAAGAGTACGTAGTTGGTCATTGCTCCTGAAGCAATGTTGTATTCCCTCTGTTTCAATTTATTTGTCTGGTTTTGACTTGATACAGAGTTAAAAGAAGTTTAATCTTGTCGTCTTAAACATGTCAATATGGAGAAGTTGAAATTAAAGAGTTGCGAGAAAAGGAAAGAGTTATTCGTTTTGAAATAGACTATAAAGGAAAGTAAAGACAAACAAAGGGAGTAATGTGTTTGCTGATGCAATTTAGTCTATACAATCCTCCCTTTCTCCATTTCTCAGACGAAAATCGTTTATTTCTCTGTTTTCGAGTAATTACTGATTGGAATAACATGGCTTGTATCGTGGGACAGATCCGTTCGCTGATGCAAATGCTCAGAACTCAGGCGCTGGTGCGAAGGAGTATGTGCATATCCGAGTTCAGCAGAGAAATGGAAGGAAAAGTCTGACTACCGTTCAAGGCCTAAAGAAAGAATTCAGCTACAACAAGATTCTCAAGGACCTCAAGAAGGAGTTCTGCTGCAATGGTACCGTTGTGCAAGATCCAGAACTCGGACAGGTGAATAACTGATTCTATTCTATCTTTATCCTCGTTGGAACAAAGGACTTATGGTAGACGACTCTTGTTCTTTGTACCAACCTATGATCAAATGAAAACGAGGTAGGCACTCTTTTTTCACATAATTGATGCTCTTCTTTGTCTCTGAGCTACTGAGGAACAAAGAAGTTTAGTATAAGGCAACTCTCGTTCTGTGCACCAACCTATGACCAAATATAAACTAGTTCTTCACTCTTTTTCACATACAACCAGGGTGGAAAATGTTACAATAGCAAACCTCTACTTGACCTGAGAGCCTCGAGGACAAGGAGGCAATGATAAATTCTGAGGCGAATCCAGGATTTGAACTTTATGAGTACAAGTTCAGGATTCTACCACAACTTATTTGATTTACTGTGGTCCAAATCAATTACTTGTACTTAATTTAGTGAATTTCTTAACACATAAACACGCGCCCCAGGATGAACGCCTTCTAGCTTGTTTGTTCTCGACTGATTGTTTCATTTCACACAGGTTATCCAACTTCAGGGCGATCAGCGGAAGAATGTGTCAACCTTTCTCATACAGGTTTAATTCATATCCTCTGCCCGTTCCTCGACATCCAATATACATGATCTAAAAAAACGTTGATTTCTCGTATTTTTTGTGATTTTTAGGCTGGCATTGTGAAGAAGGATAACATCAAGATTCATGGTTTCTAAACACAATCAAAGAAAGGGGATTGATGCACATTTTGTGATTGCAACTTTCCAGTTTGTTCACATTATATCAAGCGCGCTACGAGCAACGTTTTTTTTCCCGAGTTTTAACACACTTTTTCTTCTCTCTATATATATATATAGCAGAAGCTTGGTATATTAGTAGCTTGTTGATGATCAGTATATATAAAAAGTTGTATTTTGGATGGAGATGGAGAATCTGCCCAAAAGTTTACAAGATCATTATATTCTATTTTGGATGAACATTATAATATTTGTCATTTTGTATATAGTTTACTTATACCATCAATATTCATTTGCTTATTTCATGAGCTTCTTGTTGGTGCTTAATGTATTAACTACTTCGTCCGTTTCAATTTATTTGGTTGGTTGTGTGGACTCTACACCTTCGATGCTGCAGTCGTGTCGGATTCTGTAAAAATGCACCATTGTTGGAGAATCCGATGCGCATTCGAGCAACAGAAGGTATAGAATTTAAGAGAGTAAAAAAGACGTTTGAATCTTGTGGTCTTAAACTAAAGATATGTAGAATGTACCAATATGTTCTTTTAATTTTATGGTCTTAAAAGATGTGGAAATTTTGAAATTGCCAAAAAAAAAAGGACATTCTGTTTGAAACGTATTAACATTCGTATAGTGCCACTCTATTTGTCTTGTATCACCGGTTACACACCTAAATTTTGTTAGAATGGCTAGCAAGCAAAGAAGAAAATGAAGGAAGACGACTTTTGAAACTTGTGATGTAAACTAGGGTGTGTTTGATGGGGAGGAAAATATTTTCTAATTTTTCAATGTTTGATTGATCAAAATATTGATGTATTTGTCACAACATGTAGAGATCGTAAAGCTAGATATACTTTTGTAAAGGATGAAGATAGTACAACGTGGGTGCATGCCTCGTAGACGCACATCACGAATTTAAATCATGTTATAAATAAAGTATATTTAAATAATAAAAAAAGTAGAACGTCAGATCTATTATCTATCGAATTCAAATTAAATTTTTACTTTCCAAATAAAGGAACCTAACAACCCCTTAATCTCTTTCATCACCTACCATTCAACAGTCAGCGCCTTCCTCTCCTAAATAAATGTGCTGTTTTACTTAATTATTTTAAGTATAGAGTTGGAGTGCTAGCTTACGGGTTCGGCTAAATTCAATAGCTTTGATCTAAATCGTAACAAACTAGAATTTCGAATTCATAAATTTCAAATTCTAGATTCGCCTCTAATTTTAAGTCATCCAACAACGTTATGGAAGTTGAAGGTAAATCAGGGGTGAAACTACAGTATGCAAGTTCGATCGAACCTAATAATTTTAGTTCAAACCTTATATTTGTTTTAAGAAATCACTTGAAAGTGTACAAATTATTAATTTAGAACTCATTAACTTAAAAAATAGAATTTCAAATTCATAAGCTTCAAATTCTGACTCTACCTCTTGATTGTTAATTAATTAACATGACGTGGAAAAAGGAATAACAAACACAATAAGTCTTAAACCGGACTATACGTAGCCTGACATATATTTTCTATTTTCCATCAGGATGTAAGGTACGATTAAATACAGATTCACGCATTGCAGGATTCAGGTGTCGCTCCGATACGTAGCCTAAATTATTATTTGAAGTTGAGTATAACTCTATAAATAATGGTACTCTCATTCTCTACTAGTATTAGTTTTTTTCTAAATTTTCATATGTCAGATTCTTCAGAAAAAATTTCTTCCTCTGATTATTTTCGTGCTGATTCTCAAGGTATTTATTTACCTCTAATTCATTGGTTTAATTTGATTTTATTTTCTATGTATATTGTTTTGTAATTTTATCCTCGAGAAAGTTGAGATCAGTTATATGAATTTTCACTATTCGTATCGTTAAGCATGTTTGTTTAATTTCAGGAAAAAGATTGAAAGAAATTGAAACTGAATTCAGTGAAGATGAAGAAGCTTTGATAATCAGGATGTACAATTTGCTTGGCAAGAGGTTTCTAACTTCTTCATAAATTTCTTATTTGAAAGCTTTCTAATTTATTTATTTTTTTAACCCTTAAATGATATATTTTTATAGTTTTAGTCTTATAGAAATGTTATTATAAACATAAAAACACAAGTTTAATTTTAGAGGTACTCTTGATAAGCGACAATTACCCGAGTTCAATTGAAAACAGTCTCTCTATTTTCGATAAGATAAGGTTAAGGCTATGTATAGACATTATCCTCCTGGACTTTGTTTGTGAAATTATACCAGATATATTGTTGTTGTCTTGATGTACGGCAAAATTATACTCCCTCACATCTCAATTACGATATTACCGATGCAATTCAAGCTGTGTTATTGAGAGCATTCTCAAAATGTTAGGACATTACCAATTCGATTCAAGCTCTGAGAACATTCTCAATATTATATTTTGAAGAGGACTTTGCTCCACATGCTTTAGCATAAGATGTGTCTACATGAATATTATAAATAAGAAAATAAATTATTATTTTTAGAACAAATTAAAAGAAAAGTATATTATATAAATTTTGATGAAATGAATGCTTCTTTTTGTCATTTTTTTCTTTTAATTTATTATTAGGTGGTCTCTTATAGCTGGAAGAATCCCTGGAAGAAGTACAGAGGAGATTGTGAAGTATTGGAACACTAGATCTTCCACCAGCCAATAACAATGTCAAATAAAATTTCTATGAAGAAATAAAATATTTTTTAGAAACTTTTACTTTTATGCTTAAATATCTCACTTTTATTTATTTAAGTGGGAGGTATTTGATTTTTGAAATTTAATAGTTTGACTATTTCAGATTAACGCCCAATAAGTTCATGAAAGGAGTACACTAGATTCTTTAATTTTCAAGATTTAAATTCGAAATTTTTGATTAACAACATGAAGAGATTTGAACTCAACTCGAGAAATTCAAATTGAAAAAAGAAAGAGTGTGACATCAAAGACTCCATATCTCATACATAAAAGCGGAGTCACAACTTCAAATTTATTGATTCTGAATTTTAAAATAATAATTTTAAGGTTGATAATTGTGTTATAAATTTAATACATACATATTCAATAAAAAAAAAAATTAAGTTCGATCGAATTTATATCCAGACTTCTATTCCAAAAATATGAAGGCTTCAATAATATATTAATCAATTCAATAATACAATATAGGCATGACAAAATCATACAAGCATATATATACTCAAGTAACTCAACATCAAAAAAATAATAATCAAAATACTCCTTAATTCCTCTCATAATTTATTTTTTTTATAACCTAAGTTGAAATATTTTATTATTCCCATGGATTTAACCAACACTCCTCAGGCTTTTTTGGAAATCTTTCAGTATCTTGACAATAATCATAAATGACAAGATTTCTTTGTACCCAAGCATAATCCAATTTTTGATCACTTGATAAATGCCAAGAATCATATTGATCCCACCAATTTTGTGTTGTTGTTGAAACACAAGATGGATATGGATCTTTCCATTGACAGCCATCAACATTAAAATCTTGGTATGATGATACAAATGGTTGATTTTTCCAATTTGTTTTCTCTAAACCACCTCTTGTAGCCCAATCATCTGCATTCCATATACTTGAAAACAAGTACATTGGCTTCTCATTTGGGAAGAAATTGTTTGTGTAATTCGCGTTTTTGTACACTCTTATTGGTACCCTATCCACGAAAAACCTGTACATGTATGAAAAGTGGTTATTTTTGAAAAAATTTCACAAATCTAGATTCTTCATTCTCATGGCTCGTACTTAAGACAGCTTGTTATACGTGAAAGGATCTCATCCATCCTACCAAACTCTGCGATTGTAATTTTTGAGTAATTTAATATAGTGAAAAGAGGTACTTACACAATTTGGTGAGTATTCCAAAGAATTGAGTAGGTGTGAAAATCCTCAGTGGGGTCAAACCATAAAACATGTCTCATCTCACGATTACCAGTTCCATTCTTGTACACATTTGTTTGAATAAGATAAGGTTCACCTGTCCTATTTCCCAAGAACTCAAAATCTAATTCATCTCTTGTTGGTCCTGCTCCATCTTCTGTGCACATCTACAATTCATTCAAAAATCCATATTAAACATATTACAATAACAATAATAATATACTCAGTATAATCCTATAAGTGCGATCTGAAGAAGAAGGTGAGTACGCAGATCTTATTCCTACCTTGTGAAGGTAGAGTGACTGTCTACAATAACATACTCGAGGTAATCTCACAAGTAGAATCTAAAAAGGGTGATGGGTACGCAGATTTTCCCCCTATCTAGTAAAGATAGAAAGACTGTTAAAATCTCCATTTAACATACTACAATATAACATACTTAGTGTAATATCACAAATAAAATCTGAAATAGTATTTACATTGTGTTATATATATTAATTTGGATTGCTAGAGTTGACACATGTCCAAAGTTGTTTATAAAATGTGAGATTAGTAATCTAGAAAACAAAGCAATTTAGTAATTACTAAAATAAATTGAAATATACTAGTAATGTAAAAATTCTTTTTGAGGGGGATGCTGAAGCAATTAAAAAAGTAATTTCTGTGAGATTAATAGGTCATGAATTCGAGCATTGAAATCAGTCATTAATATTTGCTCTAAAATAGACTATACACATCACACTTTAAAAATCATGCCTGAACGTGAAATATTTTATATATTGAACTATTCTTTTTAATATATGTAAAAAAAAAAAGTGCAACTTACATAGTACGCTGTCACAACACCAGCAGAGTCACCTCCCACCAATTTCAACTTCATGCTGAACCACCCAAATCTATATTTCTGTTTGGTCATAAATCCACATCCTACATATCAAAAAAAAAAAAACCATCAATCAATTTTGCAAGAACATAAATAATAAATATACAAATGTAAAAAAAATGGTATTTGAAAAATCCAATTCTTGAATTCTAATCACATGTATAAAGAAAAATCATCAATGTCACACGGATCGAAGGTGGTCAGTTGAACATTTTTTATCAAAACATAAATACTTAAAGCTTCAAAAAAAAAAGAAAATGGTATTAAAAATATTAAATTCTTGAATTTCAATCACCTATATAAAGAAAAAAACTCATCAATGTCACATCACCGAAAGATGATCAGCTACACACTTTTCATCAGAACATAAAGATTTAAATGTCAAAAAAAAATGAAAATTGGTATATATTGAAAAACATTGAACTCTTGAATTTCAATCACCAATATAAAGAAAAAACTCATCAATGTCACATAGAAGTTGGTTAGTTGAACATTTTTCGTGAGAACATAAAGATTCAAATGTCAATTTTTTTATTTATGAATATGGTATTGAAAAAAAAAAAAACTAAATTCTTGAATTATAATTACCTGCTTTTTTGTCCAATGATAAATACCAGATCTGTCCATCTTCAGAAGTCTTGAAATGAGTTTCTGGACAACTTTTACTAAAATTGTCATCAAATGAACCTTGTACTTCAGCTTGTGTTGATGAAAAAAGTACAACAATTATTGCACTAAGTACAAGAAAATGAGCTATTGAAGAAGCCATTTTCTCCCCAAAAAAACAATAAAATTGAATGGAAAACTTCACAAGAAGAGCTTGAGAAGTGCAGCTTCTTAATAAGTTTGAATTCTTTTAGAGAAGAAATATAAATAAATAAAATAAAGGATGTACAGCACATTGATCACTAATTTTGGTCCTGTCAAGGGCAAAAATGGAAATGAGATTTTTTCCCCATGTTTGTTGCTTTTGGATTGTTTCTAGTGTTTATACTTCTTTAACCTTAGTATATACATAAAGATAAAAATTCTCTCTTTTTAATAGGAGACATTGAAGTTTGTCCAAAAAGTTATGTTTACCTATTTTGAGAATAATAGTTTCTTCAATAATAACAATAACATATTTAGTACAATTTCATAAGTGAAGATTGAAATAATAAAATGTATGCAATTTTATTCTTAATAAGGTTGTTTTCGATAGATCTTAGGATAAGTAAAACATATCAAATCAGTATCGTAATGGCGACAAAAAATAATATGATAACCGAAGCAAAAGACAAAATGAATAATATTAAAATCTAAGAGTAAGATAATAAGGAAGTAATAATAATAATAATAATAATATAAAGAAGGAAATCTGTGTGATGTTCGACCAGTAAGGAAAATGGAAAAGAGAATACCAAAACTCTACAAGGTTTTGACTTTGAACTCTGTAATTGAAAAAAATATTGATAGAAATAATTTTCTTCTTAAATGGTTCTTAGGCAACACATATTCAAATTAATCGAAATTCGAAAGCAGATATCGAACGACAAATAAAACTCAAAACAAAAACCATGTTACAGGGTTTTTTTTTCTTTTTTACAAAAGTAAATACATTTTCAAGAGGCAAATACAAGTTTAAATTTTTAGAAGGGCAATTTAGGGATTGATCCCACAATCACATATAGTCCAAACGACCGACAAGTTGGAGAAACCAATTGCCAGAAACATGAGTGAGGTCGAAATGACCATAATGCCCCCATGGACTTCACTGAATTTTTGTTACAGAAAAATGTATGTGGGGTCTAAGATGCCTGCATATGGGAACATGACTCTATTTGATTCGTCTTATAAATATAAATAATAGAAACTTGTTGGATTTGACAACTGGATTTTGCTCTTTTAATTGGTCCTCTAGAATACACTGAGTGGTTTGTTTGTTGCTCCAATAATAACAATACAACCCTTTTTCTAATCGACGATCGATATTCATTTTGAAATTTGATTTATCTTGACTTATGTCATTAGAATATCTCATTTTGAAACAAAACGTATTCTTATCAATGATGATTTTAGTTTTAGGATTCAAATGTGAAATCTTGAATTAGGAATGGGGTATTTATCATTTCATTGCAATTTTTGGTGGAAATAACGGAGACGATTGTCAGTCAAATTATTTTTTGAGAATTCAAGAGAAAGTCATAGCAAAATGAGTCATTTATCATTACGATAGGTGTTTAGTAGAAGTCTAGTAATGTGTGCTTAAAATCTTTCCTAATTTTGAAAAGTGTTTCTTGTTAGAAGTGATTTAAAAAAAAAAGTACTTCTGGTAAACAACATTTTGTGTTTAGTTAATCAATTTGAAAAAAATACTTTTGATTATATTAAAATAGTAACCAACATGGGTTGTGGTGCATTGGTGGGAGTGCTTCACCCTTAACCAGAGGTTTCGAGTTCGAGCCTTGGATATGGAGAAAATCATGTTGGGAGCGCCACCCCCGAATGGGCCCATGCAGTGTTCTAAACCTGGTTCGGGAAAAAAGCTATTTCTTTTAATTTCTAAAAAGAAAATCAGTTTCTACCACGACTCAAAAACACTCATATTTTCTCTAAAAGCTTGGTCAAACAACTCAATTTTAAAAAATATTTTTTAAATAAAATAATTATACTTTTAATTTTTTTAAAGTTTAGCTAAACAGACTATCAATGTCAAACTAATTAAACTCTGACTATATGAAGTTTCTTAATTCATTTGCACCAAACAAAGAAAGTATTGTAAGCAAAGTCACTAGTGGAAAACCAAAAACATAATATTTGACCCCACAATTTATTTAATTTTTTAAAATAAGGCAAAAGAAAACAAAGGGAACAAGTCATTGGGACAGTAAGATAAATTAAGGGGGATTCTTTATATTTAATCATTTGACTTTATTACTTTGGATCTCTATAATTACAGAACAAACTTACTTTATTTTTTAACTCCTTTATTTATTATTAAAAGCAGAGAAATTATAATTTTTGGGGAGAAGAGCTAAGAGGTGCTGGTTTGCTAGGAATAAAGATGACCGACATGCTCATGCGTCCATTTACTCTATGTATAATAATTAATAACATGTGTTTTTCGTTAATTCAAAATTTAAATTTTATGAATTTATGTTCAAAATTTTATCGTAATGTGTTGGATTGAAAATAATTTTTTAACACATTAATAAGATTTGAGTTTAAAGTTAATAAGTTCAGATGAATCAATATTTATGTACCTGATATCAACTCGTGTTATTTTTGTGTACACATTTTCATTAAAATCGTGATTGATTAGTGTATATTTTTCTCTAGATTTTATTACTTGATCATCATAAAGTAATGTTACTCGAACCTCTTTTTGTAGAAAATTATACTATATATAAAGTTAATATTAATTTTGATGTATATATATATATGATAGATGCTTAACTTTTTTAATTTTCTTTTTATAAAATCTTAATTCCGCTGCTGACACAGGCAAATGCCCCATGTGAGGACAGCTTTGAGACAGTAAAGCATTGTCTGGGAAAACATATGCACATACTATTTCTTAGATGTAAATTGCTTAGCCACTTTTATATTATTGATTATAATAAGTTAGTGTTATTAACTAAAGAATTGGCAAGTTATGTGAATTAAGTTGAGTTATTACTTTATTTTGTTACTTTGACTTTTTTTTGTTTTCAACTTTGTTATTTGACTTGCGTATTGTTGAGATCCTTCAATTCATAATTAAATATTTTGTGTTTGGATTTTTAGAAGTAGAAAAGAATTTGTTGGGAGTGTCGACTCTATAAATAATCTACTGCAATATGCAAATTTGAATTTAATCGAGCATCAATATAAATATCAGACACTAAATAAGAAACCAAAAAAAAAAGTGTGTTTGCGCTAAAACTGTGGTGGATTAAATTAGAGTTTTTTGGAGCTTGGAGTTAATTAGTACTATACTAACAAGAATAAAATATATAAACATGTGACAGTTTGGCCGAGTGGTCTAAGGCGCCAGATTTAGGCTCTGGTCCGAAAGGGCGTGGGTTCAAATCCCACAGCTGTCAATTTTTTTGTATTTTTTTAAAAGTTTCATGACACCTAGATGTCTCCATTACAACATTGTATATTACTTTTCCTCTGTGAATATTGACACAACTTATGCAAAATGTTGCATGTGTTATTTTTCAAACCAACATGGCACTCGAAACTTTTAAATCTTGCATGGCACTTGAAACTTTTAAATTTTGAATTCGCCTATATTATAGTGAAATGACGATCAATTTTACTTAATTCATGATATTGATCATTTGGGCTTTGTTAGCTATTGTGATCTCTACATCAGAATTGGGCTTCTTAGCCTTTGGTGGATAACTCTTAACAATTCAGAAAGTATAAATTATAGGAACCACATATTATAAGTACTAAATAACATCCTATCCCTTCTAATTTTTTATTTACCAAAAATTTCTTAAAAATGATGTTTGCGGGATACATAGCGTTATGCACGGGATACATGCGGGATACATAGCGTTGTGCATGGGATACATAGCTTTGTGCACGGGATACATAGCGTTTGATACATTTCACATAGCGGGATACATAGCGTTGTGCACGGGATACATGCGGGATACATAGGTAAATAAGGGATTTTTGAAATAAGTAGGGATAAATGGATATTAAGGTAAATAAAAGAGTGTAGTTAAGTAATTTGTCGATTCAGAAATTGAGTTAACTTAAGTAGGTACCACTAGAAATAATAATAATCAGAAAATGTATATTTTTGTATATTTCTATTATTATATAGAAGAGTGAAGTGGTAGGACGACCAAGGGTAAAAATTTAATTTCATTCTAACAAAAATCTATTAAGAAAGATAGTAAATAATTGTAGAAACATCTTTTTATATATTAAGTGAATTATGATCAAGGGTAAAAATGTAATTTTACACTAACAAAAATCTACCAAGAATGATATCAAGAAAATTAAATAGTACTAGAAACATCTTTTGTTTTTGTTATTACCATTAACTTATTTTCGTTATTACTTCACTTTATTTTCTTTTGTGAGTTATTGTAATATCTATTCATTACTCTATTTAACTATTACTTTAATTTAATGTTTAATATTTTTTTCTATTCATTATGCTTATAAAAAATGCCTACTTTAATATAAAAATTCATTATTAATTAATTATTTTCACCTTTATTTGGCTCTAATTAATATACTTAAAAAGAAATAAGTGTGATAAAAATTAATAATATGTAGGACGATCAAGGGTAAAAATGTAATTTCATTCTAACAAAAATCTATTAAAAAGATAGTAAATAATTCTAGAAGTGAAAATTTCATATATGACATATATTAGACTAATATTTTCAAGTTATAGCAGTAGAATTAAACTTTCAAATTGTAACAATGAAAAATTTCAGGTTGTAACAGTTTCTTAAAAAAAAAGCTTTTTTTAAATAATTGTAAAAATTTGTTTTGAAAAAAAAAAAGATAAAAAAAAAATCATTTTTTTTAAAAAAGGGGTAAAAAAAATGGAAATAAGTGTGTTAATTAAATTTGAATTGATTGAAGATAATTATTAATTAGCATAAATTAAGGAAATTCAAACTAATTAAGCATATTTAGTTTCCTTATTTCACTCTTATTTGTTAAAATTAATTAAAAATTCTGATTTCATCCATTTTCTTCCACGTTTCTCTCTCTTCGATTTTTTTACAGAAATCTTGTCACTCTGATCTAATTCATATTCGTTTTTATTCAATAATCTTTATTTTCTGGATGACTTTTTATTAGTATTAATAAAACATCGTGGTAGATGGGATCTTTCAGGTTAGTGTTCTTTGCGATTTTTTATTTGTATTGTAATACAAACCAAACGTTCAAAAAAATTATTAACAGTGATTCTGGAAAAAAAAAATATTCAGATTTTGTTTTTGAATAATAGTTTTAATTATGGCGTTTTTGGTATGAATATTTACTTTTGAAATTACATAAAAT